CAACAGCAACAACAAACCCCAAATACAGATGATCTTTTGACCTGCTACTGTATAGTTATCTTTCCATAAAGGGGATAATTTCAGTATGCTGTGCAATTATTTCTACTCATTCAGTCCTATTCCTACTTGAATCCTACCGCAGGCTAAAATATGCCAAGAGCCTTCATTAACATATCATAGATTTTCTTTTCAGTATAAGTCAAACTAAATAGGTCATGATTGCTTAATCAGTATGCAAAGTATTGCCTCTGGGAATTACCTTCAATCCTCTGACAGCTAAAATTCTTTTTAGTGCTTTGAAATTTAATTCTACCCAACCTAACCCTACCCAGCTCCTCATTCCCTCACATCAAAATTTTCATCCTATGAGGCACAGATCTTGTCCTAGAATGGGTACCATGGCACTAACAGCAGGGATTTAATTAATTCAAGGGGAAAACAGATTCTGTAACCAAGCCCCACCACCACCACCATATGATTAAGACCTTTCCCCACCCCCACCTGGGCAGCCAAGAAAAGAGGGTGGGAGAAAGGTGCGCTCCTGAGATTATGTTACTGATATATTTAGGCCTCCCTCTTAAGAAAGGATTGATTCTTCCTTACAAAGGCAGGCTCACATCATTCCTAAAAGAGCGAGGAGTCCATGATCATCCACATTTATTAAACAGTGTCTGAAGAACTCTCATGTAGTCCTGTAGCTTTCAATGACATCAATACGCAGATGACTCCCCATGTTTATTTCCATCCCTAACTCTTCCTCCGAGTGGCCCTCTCGACATAGAAACCTGTTTGTCACCAAAACAGAATTCTTGGGTCTCCCCACCAGACTTGTTTTCTAGAACAGCAAACAGGCCTACAACGTATCAGATACCATTCTGCCTGCTTTACAAATATGAACTCATTGAATCCTTACTACCTGTGAGATAGGTACCAATAGGATCTCATCTCACCGATGCTGGGGACCTAGATTTCAATCCAAGCAACTGGAGTCCAGAGCCCACGGGCTTAGCTGTGATGCATGTAATGCCCACTGCCGTACACAGTCCCAATGCTCAACTGGCTGCCCCGTCAAAGATCCGACAGTCACGTTTGATCCCTCTATTTGCCTCCTCTCCCACCCCCAAACCTTTGGGAAATCCCCCCCGCCTGGCCTCCACATCCTGTCCCCTCTCTGTCCCTCACTATCAGCACCAACGTGGACTACTACAACAGTCTCAGAAAGGATCCTCCAGTCTCTGCTCCTGCCTCTCCCCATTCTGTATAACACAAAGAAACCGGAGTGATTTTTTTTAAAAAGGTGAATCGGAACAGATCACTTCCTGCTTCAAATCCTCCAGTGGCACCCAGAGCCCTTGGAATAAGACCCCCAGTCCTCCCCACAGTCTGGGAGGCCCCCCAGGCCCAGACCTCCACCCCTCTCACTACCCTGCAAAACCACTTCTGGCCTCGGGGTCTTTGCAGCAACTTTTGCCTCAGCCCCAAAGCTCTCCCCTACATCATCACAAGACAGGATCCTTCTGACACGCGGGTGACAGCTCAGAGTGACCTCCCGGGACAGCACTAGGACAGGACTTCCCTCACTGGGACTCTGTCACAGTCGCCCCTGCCCTCTCCTCTAGCCTGTCACCCTGTGCTGTTCTCATCACCGTACTCCTGACAGCTCTTCCTACGGTGGCTTTGTCACAGGTTTCATGCTCCTTTCTCCCTCAACACTCTAAGTCCCCACTCTAGGGACTTAGTCCACCTTGTTGAGTCCCACATCCCGAGGGCTAAGATTAGCTCCTGGGTAATAACAACTAATAGTAGACACACGTAAAGACTTGTTGGGTAAATGAACTGTCATGATCCTTTGAACGGCTTTCTAGTGCCTCTGAAGTAAGAGTAACTCTATTAACAGATACCACGAGGCCCTGTGCAAGCCCCGGCCACTTCTGCCTGCTGTCTCCACAACGCTAATGAACTGGACTGCTTTCCCGGGGGACAGGGAGGCTTCTCTCCTTCTGGCCGTCACCAGGCTGGGCCTCCTCCAGGAGGCTCCCCCTGCCCATCCTGGCCTGCTGAAGCATCTGTCTCTTGCCTTGAAAGACCTTCCCTGAGACCCCAGGCAGGGTTCAATCTCCTGCTTCATACATAACACTCTATTTTCCTTCACATCACTCCTCATACTTACCGTTTAACTGGGTATTCGGAATAACTTGTAAAATACACACAAACAAAAACCAAACTCTGTTTTCCTGACTAGTCTTTCAACTCCATAACCCTAGGGAATAAATCTATTCATTCGACAAAAAGCTTGATACTAACTAGACTGCCTGACTATAAAACCAACTTGTTTTTCAAACATGAGAAAACCAGAGACTATATATTCTCCCGTGTGGGAGGAGGCTACCCACCCTCCTTGAACTTGCTCACTCTAATTCCACATCTCCGACGACTGTGAATCTCTCCCCACCCTGCCCCCTCAGACCTAGGGCAAACTTAATGTACCCTCTGCCCAGATACGGGCTGCTCCGTCCCTCCCGTCAGCAACGGGAGAGCCAGAGTCATCCTGCCCTCTGTTTGCTTAGCCCACTCCTGCAGTGTGGTTAGGGAGGCCAAGCAGAAAGATCCTGCCTGGGTCTTACACCCCAGAAGGCAGTGCAGATCAGTGTGGCAGGAGGTGCCCAGGACCAGGACACTGGAGCTCGCTCTGCCTCCCTCTGTCAGGGCCACTAAGTGGTCTAAGCCACCAAAGTGCAAAGACAGAAGCCAAAACTACTGACGGAGAAGCTCATTTAATTAAGCACCTAAAATCCAACTCTCCTTTATAGGAGATTGTTCCTATAGTGTGGCAATATCTATTTTAAATTGATAAACACCCCCAGCAGTCTCTTATCGTCTTCCATAATTGTCACCATCGGGCTGGGGAAGGTTAATCTGCCTCTGGAGATAACTCGATGGGCTCCCTGGCTCCATCCTGCCCTACTCTGGGCTGTGCCCTGACACAGTCTGGATGAACTCTTGGGGGACGCAAGCATAGGAGCAGATAGGACTACAAGGCTGTGATAGGGGAAAAGAACATTCTCCTTTACATGGAGCCCAGGGGAAGCAGAGTGGGGAGACATCAAGTTCCTTGTAGATGGAACTCTTCATACGAAGGGCACCTTCGCTGAGGTCTGAGGGCTTAGTTCTCAGTGACCAGCATGCAAAGCTGACCGCCAGCAAAACAGAAGCAACTGCTGCTCATCAATGGTACTTACTCCTCTTGCCAGGCCTATCTATGTCTGGGAGAAAAACTGATTTCCACTAAAATATTAGGAATGTAATAACTTTACCATCCAATGGATAATGCCACGGAATAAAATGCATAACATGAAGACAAAAACTAGGGGCTAATGTTAGGGCTAGGGATAGGAACTTTCTCCATCAGCCTCTAGCCCCCAACTCACAAAAAAAGAAAAATTACATCATGATGTGGGTTCCTTCTTCCCTTTGATACGAGAACACCTCGCAAGCAAAATATTTTAAATCATTAGGAAGCACCACAATAGTTGAATATTTCATGTATTTAAAAAGTAATCCAATAAAAGTATGATTGCAGAATACCCAAAGTATTCTGTATCTTGCCTAATATTAGACAAAAAGATAATGGGGAAGCCAAAACCATTTCTGGTGATGTGAGCAGGAAAAACTCACTCTTCCTGTGTGTCTCCTTTGCTCTTGGGCCGACTACCACACTCACAACACATCCGACACCAGAAGCATGCTTTTTCCCTCACCAAGCAATTCTGTGACACCAGCTGGGTATCCTAAATTTTAAGGCACCGCATACCCGGAGAGAGTGTCAGCTCCCACAGGTGAAGGGCTCAATCCTACAAGAGCACCCCCCTCATCTCACTTCAGATGCCAATGGCAAGTTCAGGTTATCACCTGTGTGCTTCTGACCAATGGGCAATAAATCGGAGGTTTCTATGACCTCCTTCTCGAGTTTGATTAATTTGCTAGAGTGGCTCACAGAACTCAGGAAAATGTTTCCTTACTAGATGACTGGCTTATTATAAAAGGATATGACAAAGGATACAGACAGGGCGAGGTATGTGGGGAGGCATGTGGGGCTTCCATGCTCTCTTCTGGTGCACCCCTCTCCCAGCACCTCTCTGTGTTCATCAACTCAGAAGCTCTGTGGATGCCATGTTTTGGGGATTTTTATGGAGGTATCATCATATAGGTATGACCAGTCATTAACTCCATTTCCAGCCCCCTCTCCCCTCTCTGGAGGATAAGGCCCAGCGCTGCAAGTCCAAGTTTCTAATCATGGCTTGGTCTTTCTGGTGACCAGCCCCCCCATCCCGGAGCCACTGAGAGTCACCTCATTAGAACAAAGGATACTGCTGCTATTCTGGAAATTCCAAGAGATTTAGGGACTCTGTGTCAGGAACCAGGGATAGAGAGCAATACATACACACACACACACACATACACACACACACACATATATTTTTTTCTATTATCTCATATGGCCTTATCCCAGCTCTAAATATTCCCTAGAGTAGAAGGGATGAAAAGCACATCCCCAAAGTACAAGCACTTCTTTTTAAATTAATGGGCAACAAGTCTGTACTAAACCTGCCAACCACTTGGTATAGAAACTGAAAATCCGTAGTGAATCCCAAGTATTCTGAGGAAAAAGCACCTGTCCGTTTAGAATTGTATGAGAAAACATAAAGAAAAAAAAATCTATTTAACAAATGCTTAAAAATATAGAATACAGAGAAAAAATACAAACCCATAAAAGTCATCTGGTGAACAGTTTAATTTCATGAAGCTACTTTTTAGAGTCTGCATCATGCAATGTATTTAATGATTATTCATATTTATTTTATTTCTAGAGAAAATATTTTTCCTAGCCACAAGTACCAAATCAGCCTCATAGGAAAAAAAATAAAATAAATAAATAAAAACCCAGAAGAGGTGAGAGACAGCGGTAAGTGATTTTTTAAACATTCCATTGGGATACTTACGCAGTTGTGGTCTGCACGTCGTACCAGCTTCTGCTGAAATTCTGTTTTAATTCATTCATCAGGTTCATGCCGAGTTTCTGTTTTATCTCAACCAGATGCCTTTCTTTCGCGGATAAAACTTGCCGTAATGTTGTGATTTCGTCTTCTAGCTACAGATGGGAGGGAAAGCCGTGTGGAAAGATGTGAGGGCAGCTGAAACACATACCTGCAAAGCGCTTGGTGCTCCAGAGCAACCCTCTGCACACTGTCCTATTACCAGGCCCTCGCTTACCTATGGCAAACGCAGCCCACGGGCATGACGGTCTGGTATTTTAAAATAGAAACAGATTATTTTAGTTCTAATGATTATAAAAAATTCACTCAAACAGCAAAATATAAACAAGAATGATAAACCTATAACCCACTAGGAAATAGCTGCCACTTGATTTTTTGGCTTCTAATCTTCCAAATGTTTTAAAAAACAAAAACTCAGGGCTTGAACTCACAACCCTGAGATCGAGACCTGAGCCGAGATCAAGAGTTGGATGCTTAACTGACTGAGCCACCCAGGTGCTCCCCCCAAATGTTTTTTTTTAATACTGTACATAGATATAATTTTTGAACAAAAAGTTGGCTTTGTACTGTATGCCTTTCTCCTATAAGCAGCTTCAAGTGTCACTGGTCAGTACCGTGTGTTTATCTTTTGCCCATCACACATCACTGCATTGCTGAAGGCACAGACTGAGCAGACACTGTGGTTCTTGCCAAGCTAATGCATCAGGAAGGGAGGAACAAGGGAGGAGAGCATGTATACAAGGACGTGATTTGTGTTGCTTTTTCTTTTTAACAGTGTATTGACAAGTAACTGATGTACAATAAACCGCCCACATTTATAGTGTATAGTCTGTAAGTTTTGACACGTGTGTTACTCTTGGGAAGTCATCACTGCAATCAAATCAGTGAACACATCCATCACCTCCAAAAGTTTTCTAGGTCCTCTTTGTAAGTCCTCCCTCTTTCTTCTCTCCCCTCCTCCGGGTAGCCGCTGATCTTTCTTTCACTCCACAGCTCATTTTTGTGTGGCTTTGTTCACTCAGTCTAATTATTTGAGATCTTTGAGATTTATCCATGTTGCTGCATTATCAGGGGTTCTTCCCGTTTTATTGAAGACTAGTATTTCATTGTATGGACAGTGTGTTACCTATTCACCTGGTGAAGGACATTTGGGTTCGGCCAATGCAAATAAAGCTGCTATGAACACTCATGTACAAGGTTATGTATGGACATATTTCCTCTTTCCCCTGTGTTAGCAGAAAAGCAAATCTCATAAAATTGCTCTTGCTCACTATGTAAAACAGTATGGAGATCCCTCAAAAAATAGAACTACCATACCACCCAGTAATTTTCCTTCTGAGTATTCATTCAAAGAAAATGAAAACATTAACTCAAAAAGATACATACAGGGGCGCCTGGGTGGCTCAGTTGGTTAAGTGACTGCCTTCGGCTCAGGTCATGATCCTGGAGTCCCTGGATCGAGTCCCGCATCGGGCTCCCTGCTCGGCAGGGAGTCTGCTTCTCCCTCTGACGCTCCTCCCTCTCATTCTCTCTGTCTCTCATTCTCTCTCTCTCAAATAAATAAATAAAATCTTTAAAAAAAAAAAAAAGATACATACACCCCCATGTTCATTGCAGCATTATTTACAATAGCCAAGATATGGAAACTGGCTAAGTGTCCACTGATGGATGAATGGAGAAAGAAAATGTCAAACACACACACACACACACACAGAGGAATATTATTCAGCCATAAAAAAGAAGGAAATGTTGCCATTTATGACATGGATGGAACTTGAGGGTATTATGCTAAGTGAAATGTTATCAGACACAAAAAGACAAATACCATATGATCTCATTTATATGTGGAATCTAGAAAAACCAAAGCAAATGAAAACAAGCTCATAGATACAGAGAAGAGACTGGTGATTGCCAGAGGGGAGGGATGCGGGGGGTGGGGGCAGTGGGCGGGGAGGGGTGGATGAAATGGGTGAAGAAGGTCAAAAGGTACAAACTTAGTTATAAAATAAGTCACATGCCAAAAATTGCTCTTGCAAATGTAATTTCTAACAAAGCAGTTCTGTAAAAAGCCCAGATTTTAGAGAATGTTGCTATAACCTATGAAAATCAATTTGAAACTCCATAAAGTCTTTGATTCCAATTACTGTATTTTATTCTGTTGTCATACCTTATAATGTATTGCCCTGGTAAGACTGCTTAAATTTACATCGTTATTTTCTGAACAGTACGAATGACTGACTTTCTTTGTGAAGCCAGAAGAGAACTATTAGTACTCCCTTAGCATCCCACATGCATAGGGTCATAAAAAGCCTGACATTTTTACTAGATTTCTTATTTTTACAAATGTGGCAGATGTGTCTCATTTACATTCAGAGTATCGCTCTACTTCTGACCACAAACCACATTTACACTAACACTATCAGTCATCATGCAAATATGTTCCTTGGGTTACCAGGGATATAGCTGCAAGAAAAGCCTCTCAAGAAACACAAGTACCTTTGCCTTTTTACTACTGCAAGGAAGATTTTACCCCAATGGTGGACAGATCAGAATACTGTTGTGAAGCTTCACGGACATAAATAATCACGTAAGCAAAACAGGCATAATTCCAAGTCGGAAGCATCTTAAAAACCACGGTAGAAAAGAACAATCTCTTGGAGTTTTTAATATCAGCAAATGTCCTAGTAATCTAGCATTATTCATTTCTTATGTTTATGGGACAGTTTTCTAATACTCACAGAAATCTTTCTAAAATGAATTACACATTCCATAAACATGTTATAGTCAGCACTGTCTTTTCTTTTTTTTTTTTTTAAAGATTTTATTTATTTATTTGAGAGAGAGAGAATGAGAGACAGAGAGCATGAGAGGGAGGAGGGTCAGAGGGAGAAGCAGACTCCCTGCCGAGAAGGGAGCCCGATGCGGGACTCGATCCTGGGACTCCAGGATCATGACCTGAGCCGAAGGCAGTCGCTTAACCAACTGAGCCACCCAGGCACCCAGCGCTGTTTTTTCTTTTTTTTTTTCTTTTTTTTTTTTTTAAAGATTTTATTTATTTGACAGAGAGACACAGCGAGAGGGGGAACACAAGCAGAGGGAGTGGGAGAGGGAGAAGCAGGCTTCCCGCCGAGCAGGGAGCCCGATGCGGGGCTCGATCCCAGGACCCTGGGATCATGACCTAAGCCGAAAGCAGACGCTTAACGACTGAGCCACCCAGGCGCCCCCAGCGCTGTTTTTTCTTGATGAGCAGGTCTTCAGTATGCAAACATACACTCATTGCTCCAAAAGGAGTCTACCTGGGGACCACCAAAGGCGGTCATGTTTTTAGTCTCCTCATTAAATGAGAACACACGGTTACTGTAAAATTAAACCCTCTATTCTTTTGCTATCATGTCACATTCCACTCTTTCATCTTTGTCAGTGTGTCTTCCTGTGTGTAATCTGTGGCCTACTAATTCTCAAGGTTGTATCTCTAGCTCTCTTTCTGTAGCAGCCCTTTATTCTGTAAAAAGAACTTTTCTGCATTCTTTTGCATAAATAATATGTTTTGAGTGACTGAAATTATTGGGAGTCTTGGGTTTTTTTTTTTATGCATTGGGTATGACTGTGGTTTTCACTGTGTAATAAAAATAATGGGACAATTTTTACCTGGCACAAAGAACTTACAGATGTAGAGAAGAGGAAAGAGGTTTAAACATCTTGATATTCTCAATCTCATATCTGTGGGACCCTAGAAATTTACTCAAAATGGGGGGGCAGTAGGAGATTCATTAGTTATTTGAGGGAGGTAAGGGATTCATAGTTTTCTAATGAAATCCTTGATCCCCCAAAAGTGAAGAGAAACACTGAAGTGACCAATTTACCAAACACGAACCTAAAGAAAGAACAATGAGGTCCCACGCCTTACATTTTAAACATGGAAGCACACATTAAAAAGCATTTGTAAGGAACAGACTTTTAAGGATGGAGACGTGAACTTGGTTACTCAGTTGGCTCTATTCTCAGGTTTTTTAATGAAATTCTCATCATTTCAATGAAATGCTGAGACACATTTCTTGAAGCTTTCAGTATATTTATCAGTGATCTAAATATATGCCAAAAAATCTACAAGCAAATCCAGAAATTGAAAAAACACGTAATATTAAATTATATTAGCTTGCAAGAATGAAAATGAGAACCACATCTCTTTACACAGAACAGAGTTCTGCCCCACAGCAAAGCACAAATATTTTAAATGATGCTCATGGTGAGAGTCTACCCCTCATTTGACTAAAGAGATTTTTTGGTCTAGTTACACCAGTGGTTTTCAATTTCAGTTTACATAAAAGTCACTCACTGGGCATATTTAAAATGCAGATTCCAGGTGTATGCACCTTTTAATGCCCTGAGATTCTGATATCTTCAATTTGGTAGGGCCAGGCTACATACATTATTTAACAAGTGCACCCAGATACTCTGATGCAGGTGGTATGGAAACCTGATATCATAAGTACCTCTGTAAGCCACATCAAATTCTTTTTGGGATGAGGTAGAGTGCAGGTAAGTCTTTAATTGAAATATTTAATATACTCTTTCCCCTTTAATTTTAAATTAATCATTTCTTTATTATAAACTAATAGTCTGGTTCTTTGGTTTCTTGACTCCCTAGAAGATCTCCTTGTATGACCAATATTTATGCCTAAGATTAGATATTTAAACTTGATTATTTAAATATGAATTAACATGCACATAGCAAGTGTCGGAGGATGTAGCAAAATTGGAACCCATGTACATGGCTGGGTAGGAATGGAAAATGGTTCAGCCTCTTTGGAAAAGAGTCTGGTAGTGTCTTAAAAAGTTAAACGCAGAATTACCATATGACCCAACAATTCCACTCCCAGGTATATTCCCCAAAGAATATAAACAAATACATGTATACAGATGTTCATAATAGCACCATTCACAATAGCCAGATGTGAAAACAGCCAAAATACCCATCAAAGAATGAACAGATAAACAGTTGCAGTATACACAAAAATGGAGTATTTTTCAGCCATAAAAAGGAATGGAGTATTGAGACATGTTACAAAGTGGATGAACCTCAAAAACATTAGGC